ACCCAGTTTTTCTTACTGATAAAGATGACATTGGAGAACACAGCCTAGGTGTTAGGTGTTAGAAACAGCCTTCCTTACGTGGAGCACCTGACTTAGGCAGACTAATCGCCCTGTCACTGGAAGTCCTAGAACACTGCAGACCACCTCTAGGGGGATTGTGGTGGTGGTTGGGAGTTGCCTCTGGGAAACCTAAAGTGTATAGGAACAAGCAGAAGAGTAGCTACCTCCTAAAAGGAGAAGGAAGAGGGTGAGATACAGACCCTTATCCCATATCATCCAATTTTCCAAGTCATTCCATCTCTATTGTGGAAGAGGGCAACAAAGTGGAGAGTTGCTGTTCTGGTTACACTGCTGGATGTCCTTCCTCTAAGACAGGTACGTGAGGCAAGGAGCAAGAAGAGTTTCCCTTGAAATACTGCTCAGAATTCTGTTTCCTTAATCCATTTGGCTTGAGCCTGTCCCTGACCAGGAGTGTGGCTTTCCCCTCAGGGGAGGAATTTATCCAGAAAGTCTCACTCCCAACCTCAAGGGGCCATTGTCTCCACAGCACCACTTTTTCTTTTTTGGGCAGCCACCACGAATGCTGGTCACCAGTGTTTATTTGGCCCTTTGATGTTCTGAAATTTGTCAGAACGATAAATCAATGTAATAACTCTAAAGTCATTCTCTATTCAATAGTCTGTCCCAAATAATGTCAAACTTTGCTTCCTAATCAACTATTCAAGGTTTCTACAGTGAGATAAAGAGACAGCCTGAAATAAAATTGCTAACAACGTAGAGATGACCAGAATTTCAATGTAAACCTCTCTTGTTATGCATTTCTTGGGGAAAAATTAAATTTCAAAGATTAAATCTCATTTAAAATTACAGAATCTAAAGAGATAAATTCAGAAATCAAATTACCTTACCAGTGAGGTAAATTGCCAAAGAAATGAAAGTACAAAACCTATAAGTTAAAGTCTTAAGAGAATTAAAACTTAAAATCAAATGTACTTGTTCCTATGAATTAAAATTCAAATAGAGTCCAGGGCTTCAGAGTCCAAAGGTTAATAGGACACAGAAATCTGGATCCAAAAAATTTAGAAAACAATCCAATCCACGGACTTGATGCAGTTTCCCAAACCCAGGATTTAGTGTTATCAAAAACCAGAGTAGAAACTCAAGCACTCAGGAGCAAAGAAGGAGACACCAGGAACATCCTGTGTATTTCAAGCTCACCAGGTGGGAATCAATCCATGGTCAGTGTCCAGGGTCTATGCCTAGGTTCCTTAAACTTAGTCACGGGAAATTTCCCATTTAGAGATTCATTTTGGCTGTATGATTATACTGGCAGGAAGTTCACCTATGCTTATGATTTTCTCTCACAGAGAGGGACATTTTTGACAGCACTGCAGTTTGCAAAGCTTGAAAATGTCTTGTGGTGGTAGCCCCAGTTATCAGGTTTTAAACTGAGGTATCTTTTCTGCATACTTAATACTTATTAATTTCCATTTGCTCATTGGTCCTGGTGTTTCTGGTCCTCCAAGGCTGAAATGAATGTAAGCTGTACCCACTGACAGAGTCTATAATACATCCAGTATTTTCAGTCCTGCTGCAGAAGCTTTTGACAATGCCTCTTGCTGTGAAAGTCTTTAAGTCAAAGGCACCTGCCTCCTAGAAAGATTCCTCCTTCATCTCCACATTCATTTCAGCAGAAATCATCCTCAACCTATTCAAATACTGAAGTTTCTCTTGAGTCTTTAGTATGTACCTCTGGGGTCTAAGATAGACTGACATTCCTGCTGTGTGCTCCTTAGACATGGAAATTTCTCACATCTTTAATGTGTTGAACATGGACAGTGTTTCTCTCATTATTGTATCTTTTTCTGCCTCAATCATCTCAATTATTTTCAGAAAGTTGAATCTGCTTCTTAAATGGATCCTTTTCTTCCAACCAATATAAAATTAGTACTGTTTACAGAACTTCAAGATCTTGGTTTTTTTCACTGTTACTCTGCTTTCTGGACAGACATTTATTTGTCTAACAATGTTTCATAAATTTAGTTTAGGGAGGATCTTTTATAATAAGAAATAGGAAATGAGTGAGTGCTGGTCCTGCCAAAGCAACTATTTTTCAAATAAATCTTGGCCACCTCCATGTCTGTGAATTGGATATTCTCACCCAGGAGGAATTCTCCCATCAGACCAACATCTGTCCAAACCCTGACCTTGATCTATTCTCCAGCTTGGCTTCCCTTGAATAAAGTTAATGCACTTTCTTTTGGAACCTCAATGACTTAAATTTATTAATCAGGTTCCCCCAGGACATAGGCAATAGCTGTTGCCTCCCCACACACAGTAAGAGCTTCATTTCTCTTTGGTCTTCCGTAATCCTTTGAATATTTTATGATGGTCTTCTGGTCTTCCTTTGGCAGACCAGTCCACTTCATTTTAACCACTTCAAACAGCTGTGACCATCTTTAAGGGGTCATTTCCAGATAACTCTTACCATAGATGCTAATTATGATTTTAACAGGGTTTCCTTCTGTTCTGAATTTTTCTGGATCTCTATCCCTTCTGGGGAGGTTTTCCCAGAAAGTTTTCTGAGAACTTCTCTCTCTTTCTCCACTAGATTCTGTCAGAACCCAACACAAGTATCACTTAGTCAATTATGTGCTCCATTTCTGAATCACATTTTCAGAAAGGTTAGAACTAGATCTGTCTCCTGTGTACTTTTATCTCTCTCTGTCCCAGCCTTCTTAATCATTTTTCCATTTGTATCTCTCTGGTCTGCCTCTAAAATTTTAATTTCCTTCTAAGGAAGGAGGAATTCTCCCTCTAACTTAATTCTTTGTTCTTACCTGCTGCTCCTTTTCTGATAACGAGACTGCAGGATATTTTTCAAACTACTCTGGTTTCTCTTTGGTTTCCTGAACAAAACTAATTCCTAGAACTGAAATATTCAAGGCACAAGATTCTCAGTTACTTTACCTCCATCTGTGAATTAACACTTTGTATTTACAAAATCTAAAGGCATAATCAGATAACATATCTTCAACTTCAAAGCCAATCTGGACTTAAGGATCTGTAAACAAAAGTTTGACAGCAAGGAGTTAGCCAACCAACCCGTGGCAAAAATCATGTTTTATAGGTTTGAAGCTTTATATAATTTTGGTCTCTCCCTTTTCAGAAAAAAGACACAAAAGTTTGAATACAAAATTAGATAAGAAAAATACATAGTCATTGAGAATGAGAAAAAAAATCACAGTAAGTCATAAACTTTTAAAATCTGATAAAAGTCACCAAATTTAGAAAGTGAATATGTTATTAATTGCTTAAAACATCATGATAAAATTTTTCTCCTATATTTTTAGTTGCATACTTTTTGATTGCCTCCTCTTACAATAATGATACTTCCACAAAATTTTCTGTAGAAACTGTAGGAAGATAGGAAGACAATTCAGCCTGTTCTTAGGTTGATTGAATTTTTTATGATTGATAGGACCCACCAAAAAATTCATACACTGATGTATTTAGTATTCATCATACTGCTACAGAGCTGTGGTCTACAAAGAGGAGTTCTGTTATATTATTTTCTACCTAAATGCTATCAATAAAAGAAAAATAATAATTACTATATTCATAAATATATATCCTGCTTTATGAAATATATTTCGTTTTTAAAAATTGAAGTCAGTTTATAATATTTGTGTCAATTTCTAGTGTCCAGCATAATAGTTCAGTCATACATATGCTTACGTGTATTTGTTTTCATATTCTTTTTCATTATAAGTTACTACAAGATACTGAATATAGTTCCCTGTGCTATACAGTATAAAATTGTTGTTAATCTATTTTATATATAGTTGTTAGTATCTGCGAATCTTGAACTCCCAGTTTATCCCTTCTTTCCCCCTTCCCCCACTGGTAACCATAAGTTTATTTTCTATGTCTGAGTCTATTTCTGTTTTGTGAATAAGTTCATTGTCTTTTTTTTTTTAGATTCCACATATAAGTGATATCATATGGTATTTTTCTTTCTCTTTCTGACTTGCTTCACTTAGAATGACAATTCTAGGTCCGTCCATGTTGCTGCAAATGGCATTATTTTATTATTTTTTATGGCTGAATAGTATTCCATTGTGTAAATATACCACAGCTTTATCTGGTCATGTGTCAATGGACATTTAGATTGTTTCCATGCCTTGGCTATTGTAAATAGTGCTACTATAAACATTGGGGTGGATGTATCTTTTTGAATTAAAGTTACCTTTGGATATATGCCCAGGAGTGGGATTGCTGGATTATATGGTAAATCTATTTTTAGTCTTTTTAGGAATCTCCATACTGTGCCAAACTATATTCCCACCAACAATTTAGGAGAGTTCCCTTTTCTCCACAGCCTCTCCAGCAATTATTGTTTGTGTACTTTTTAATGACAGCCACTCTGACTGGTGTGAGGTCATATCTCATTGTAGTTTTGATTTGCCTGTCTCTGATAATTAGCAATATTGAGCATTTTTTTCATGTGCCTATTGGCCATCTGTATGTCTTCATTGGAGAATTTACTTGTTTAGGTCTTCTGCCCATTTTTGGATTTTTTTTTAAGTTATATGAGCTTATATTGTTGATGAATGGGAACTTTTATTTTGACCAGGGATTAATGAGAAATGAATAACTATATCTAGTTTTCTATGTTTATAGGTAGCAGAATAGTTCATATGTCAAACCTTGTTTTTCTTCCTTTGACAAGCTGTGAGCTGCACATGCTCTGTCCTTCATGGCAAACTCATAAAGAGGGAGTTGGAGCCGAGGGAGGGCAGTAGAGAGAAACAGAAAATTTCTGCTGGTGGTACTTTCTTCAAGTGGGGAAGAAGCAGTCCTTTCTAGCAATTATCCTAGTTCAAGACTTTTCTCCACTGTTTGATAAGTGTCAGAAGGAAGGCAAGATTCATGTGGGGTTTAGGAGAGAAGAAGCAGTGGGGGCACTGCTCTGCCCCTGGACTGTGGAAAGCAGTCACCTGCGTGGCTCAGTTTAGCTGAGCCCTGGGACACTGGCCTGGGCTTTAGAACCAAAGCCTCGGAGTGAGAGGGGACATGCGCAGCATGGCCTTGTCTTCTTGGTGACCTCCAGGACACAGTGACTTGTGGAAGGATAAGATGGGCTCTTCAGGGTCCTGGACTCTTCTCACCTCTTTCTCTATCACCAACTTTAAAATAAATTACAGACATTTGATAATAAATGAGTGGTCAGAATTTCTAAATTAAGGGAATAAACTCAAAATTATCCTTTAGAAAGGAGGAAAGACACAAATATTTTCTTGGCCTTATATGTTTCAAGAATGATATTACGTGTTTCACAGATTTTCTCCTTCAATTCTTAAAATAAAATTGTGTATTATCAACTTCATTTTACAAATAGGAAACATATCCCAGGAGATACTGGAAAACTTAATAGGAGATAAAACTTTGAACTGAAATTAATATCGTTTGATTCCAAAACTTTATTATAGCTCATGTAGGAACATTAAACTGTATTAGTATGAACTTTCCCTATTAAAAAAATTCCCAAATGAATTCATTTCAAAGGAAAGTATCTTTTACTTTCACTCTCCTCAAATTGCAATATAAGATAAGCTTTTGACAAAGCTGGAACTCCCATTGCATGGGGTTGTTTCCATATTCAGGAGTCTGGGCTTGATCTGCTATGTAATTATTTTCAGGTTCTAAAAATAAAAATCCCATGCCAGTAAAGCAGATAGGGAGACGTTTTCAGTCTTTAGCATGAGCAAAGAGCCTGAGAACATAAATGACATCTCTAAAATTCTTAATATTTCCAGACAACTCAAATGCTAGTTTATATAGCTCATTTCTAGCTGTCAAGATTTCACATTGCCATTAACGAGAGGCACTGAATACAAGATACTTTTCTGAAAATGCCTTCATGTGTTAAGAATCACTGAAGAATTCATGTCACAGTATGCCTTTGAGCTTTTCCCACCACAGAAAGAAAATAAATTGAATTGTAATGGCAACTATTAGCTCTACATTATAAGCTTGTCTGCCCTTCTACAAGAAGTTTTCATTCTGCAAGAAGTTTTCCAATTTATTTTACCAAACTGTTTAAGCAAAAACAAGCATATTTGAGCTCCTTATAAAAGTTAAAGAAATTAATTTTTTTAAAAAGAAGGAAAAAATATTGCTCTTAACCTATATTCTCAGAGAGAACCCAAGAGGACAAACCACAGCAGAGACCTAAGGAAAACAAAAGAAAACAAAAAGCCTGGGAAAAAGTTAAAAAAGAAATTGTCAGGTCCAGGTCCAAAAACATGAAGGAAAGGCAAATTTATCCCATTGGAAAAATGAGAAAAGCAATAGTTCATCCAGTGCTATATCCTCAGTTTCATTTTTCTGACCTGGGGATAAGGAATCACACCAGCATCAAAGAGGCAAATGATGGAAGACTAAGATTCATCTCCAACTTTCCCTTCCCTTTCAATCCCTCCCTGACCTCTCTACGTAGAATCCACATCCCAGCTTCTTCCTCCCCAAGACGTACAGACCTCTACAATTGCCTCAGAACATTCTAAGACCATCAAGGTCCTGGGCAATCATACATTTGGTAATCCCACTCTGCCCTACAGCAAACATTAAAATACATCCACATCCTGCAAAGTTGACATGATTTAAAAATAGTTACCTTTTTGGAGCACTTACTTACTGACAGGCACAGGCACACTTTATGCCTGTTCCATTGTCACAGCCATCCTTTACGTAAGTAACTTACCAGGAGTCACATAACTAGTAAATAACAGAACCAAAATTTTAGCCTAGGGCAGTGTTGTTCAAAACACCATGAACTTACCACTTAACTATTGTGACATGATGGTGTGTTCCATAGATATTTAAGTACGTATTTTGGTACTTAAGTTTTGCAGTTGTCTTTTCATATTTTGGTGCCAGTGTTTTTGTTTTTTTTTTTTCAATCACCATGATGTTTCATAGTCCCTTTAAAAAAACATAATATCTCTTTGTTCTGTTCCCACAGTGAGTATTAAGTAAAACAACACAACTGCCCTCATCACATCATGTTTTTCATGATGGCTCCCTTTCTAGAATGTCAAAAGTTAAACAGTAAAATACTTACTCAGAGAGGTGCCCAGGAAATGTTTAACAGAGTCAAACTGAAGTGTGGCAATAGAAGGGTGAAGAACCTAGAACTGAGCCACTTGCTAAGGACAATTCACTGAGGATTAACTAGGGGACTGGTATTTGGAGGAAGGACTGGCACTGAGGAAAGGGCTGATTAGGTCATAATGCGGTAATAGGAGGGTGGTTAGAGAGGCAGTGGCTTGGGCATCATGCCCCTAAATCAAGCTTACAAATTCAAAAGGAGGGTTACGCTGAATATTTTTCTAGAGAACTTCAAAAAAAGGAGAGATAATCCCAATGGAGTTGGCCAACAGGCTGATGATTATAATTATCATCTCTCAGGGGGGTCTTATATCCCTAACAGTTTATTGCCACATGCTTTGAAATTTATACTATTTATAAAATACTGATGTTTAACCCCATAATTGTGTTATACCAATTATAAGTGTGTCGTTAAGCCCACAAAATGTTATGTATTATTTATGGCAGGTTGTTGTCTTTCCATTTATTTAAAAACACTTCCTATATTTTTTTAATTCAAAGGGTATTGTTAGAAATTTTTTAGTTCCTTTGCTAAGGTAACCATAGAGATTCAATAGTTAAATCAATTTAAGACATTTACTAAGCTTTAACTATTGGCTTATCATTTATTGGCTCAGAAGTGGGGAAACAAACCTCTTACTGTTTTAATGAATGAAAATAAATGTGCATGCCAGTTAGTGAAAAACATTAAGCAACATACCGTCATTTCTTATATGAATGCTATAGAAACTAAGGGCCATAGAGGAAAGAATATCGAAGTAGTAAGACTGAAATTATGAAGGACGATTTGCCCGGGCAGAGCAACAGTGGAGAGTTTCTGAGCACATGAATTTCAAAGTCAAAAAGACCTGCATTCACAACAGTTCCCACCACCTGTTTTCTTTGTGACTTTGAACAAAGTTATTTAATAGCTTATGTCTCAATTTCCTCACCCATTAAACAGAAATAATAGTCACTCATTGAGTTGTGGCAAAGATTCAAATAAGACAGTTACTGCAAAGTGCTCACAATAGAGTCAGGCCCATCCAAGACGCTTATTAATGCTGGCGAGGTAATTAATGATGAATGCTGTTGCAGAAGTGGCTGCCGTCATGGTCCCAGTCTTAGCAGTAGTGGTGGTGGCGGCAGCAGCACTATTAACAATAGTCATAACAATAATTACTCGGGCTGAAGTGTGAGTATGAACAAAGAGTAGAGGAGAGGATGCTCTAATGGTGGCAACAGGATGGACAGAGTTTAGGAAATAGCCGTACATGTTTATTTTTCGATCAATGAGGTCATCTAGTTAAAATCTAAAAGGAATTAGAAAGTAATGGGGAATAAACCTGGGTAAATGAATTAACAGTAGACTTCAAATTACTAAGACCAGTCATTTTTTTTCTTTGTTGGAGGTGAGAGTGGGTGGGTAATCACCAAACAATTCCTCTAATAATTTTCAGTTTGCCTTGTGATGCATATACCTGGCTGAATGAGATGGAAAGCAAGCTATAATTTTGAACTGAAGGGAAAGAATATTTGAGTGCAGTTTTGTTCTCCATCATTTGGTAGTCAAAAGAATAAGAAATAACCTCCAGTAATTAAGGCTGAGGATGCAGGGATACTATCAACCATTTGGAAGGGTGTTGGCAGATAGTTTATTAGTGTGATCTCTTCACATCTCTTGGATCAGAAAGATTCCTGAGAGGGGAGATAATCTGTAAGAAAGCAAGACTTGCAGAGAGCTGGATGTTTCTAGCCCAGTTAACAAATAAGGTTATGCAAAATAACTTTCACACTAACAAGCAGCTTCAAAAGCAGCCCGCAGTGGTTGCCATGCTACCAAAAGTAAGCTCTACGCCGGTCTTTAGTTTTTTTCTAGTTTGGAGGCTATTCTGTGCCATTTGTGTCTCAAGGAAGAACCAGGCAGTCAAGGCTGGATGGGGCTGGTTTGGTATTGGGAAAAGAAGAAATGAACAGATCACTGCCCGGAGGAACTGGGCTCATTAGGAGACAAAGGTGACAGGTGTTTGCTCTCTGAAAAGACTATCGATAGAAAAACTTAGCTGTAGTGGATTTACAGGGCATAAAAACTGAGTGGAGGGAAGTGAGAACAGACCAAGAAGAAGGGGACAAATAAGGTAACCAAACATCCTCATTTGCTTGAGACTCAAGGATTTCCCAGGATGTGAGACTTTTTCAGTTTTAACACTAGGACAGTCCTGGGTAAATTGGAATGGTTGGCCCCCTAAGTAGAAACTGAGCCTTAATTTCTGGGCAGACTGAAGTTTTACTTGCTGGGCAGCAAAGCCATATGCTGAACACAGATGTCCCAGCAGAACACTGAGATGATACATTAACCTAGCACTTAACCATGAGCCATCACTGTGTAAAATCATAGATATTCACCCAAAGTCACCAGTTGTTTCCTACAGATGAATAAAGAGATGTGTAATATTTTAACAAGCACAAATACTGACAAGTAATAATCTGAGGTTGTATTCAAGAACACAATAAATTGTTATTTCTTAATCTTGACCAACTTGCCCTCAATCACAACCTACCAAGTTACTGAGAGTGACTCAGTTTTCCTTTTTGCTGGAGAGGCTTAGAGCATAGTGATGGTGATCATGGGGCTTAATATAAGACAGACCTGGCTTCAAATCATGGCTTCATTGCTTAGACACTATGTGACCTCTTTCTTCACCTCTCTGTGAATTAATTTCCTTTTCTATAAAATTATAATGCCTACTCCAAAGTATTGTCCTCGAAATTGAAATTAAATTAGAACAGTAAATGGGAAATGAGTAGTCAACAAATACTAATGGCACTTCTGTTTAATCTCCTTTTCTCCTGGCTCTTCTTTGAGTCAGGTTTCAATCACAGAAAATAGAATCCCTTAACCTGCTATAAACAGAAGGGAATTGATTTCAGGGAATTGGGTGCTTATAAAATCTTAAGCTGGACTGAAGGACCCGTCTCCATGCTGGGCACCCAGAGCAGGTTCCCCCATCTGCAGAACTGTTCTCCTGCTATACTCAGGGAAGCTGCCTTCACTTGGTAGCACCACTGAAGTAGCACATTATCTGCTAAACTGGGAAGTTGTCCCCAAGGCTGTTGGGTCCAGAACCAGCCACCTCTGCCTTGATCCATGCCTGCTAATTGGCGATCTCACACTGTGCTTCTTTTCTGAGAGGTTTCAATTCTGACTCAAAGTTGAATGAGAATATTTTGTTGGTGAAACTCAAGTCACATGAGAAGCCCCAACTGCAAGGTTGTCTAAAAAACGTGTGTGTGTCTGCATGTTCTCAGGGGTTGGAAATTATTCTGAGTTAATACATAGTTTCCACCACTGCCTTATGAAATGGTTAATTTTATGTGTCAACTTGACTGGGCTAAGGGATGCCCAGATATCTGGGAAGCTTTACCTCTGGGTGCATCTGTAAGAATGTTTCTGGAAGAGATTAGCACTGGAATCAATAGACTGAGTAAAGAAGATCTACCCTCACCCACATGAGTGGAGGCAGTAGGCGGAAAGTGAAATTCTCCTTCTGTGATACGGGTGTAGTGACTTTACCAGTTGTCTTTCTCCCTTGGTATTTGGCTGAGCTTTGAGTATGTCAAATCCAAAATTGGGAGCAGGGTAGAACTCAAGGCTCTTCTGGGAACTAATCATACATTCCAAGTAACCACAGTCTTTGTCAATAATAAACAAAAACTCAAGAAAAGAGAACATAAATCATGTCACTGAAAGCCATTTATTTGGCTTTTGTTGGCATGAGCATCTTGGCCACATTTACTGACTAACGTGGCGTTATCTACAATATACATTCGTGTTGCTCCCCTCCACAGAAATGATCATTCAGAAGGATTTCAAATCAAAGAGATTTGTGTTTGAGGGATGTAGCATCAGAACTTTATATATGTTTGATCAGTGTCTATTTCTTGCTAATTATTTGTAGTTGAGTTGAAAGATCCACATTGTCCAAAGAACTTTGCAAATCTTCAACCAGGTAGTTGCCTTGCTAAAGGAGGTGTGGAAAAAAAGAACAAAGAAATTAACTTTTTCTAAGAAAACTAAGATCATCATGGAGAAAAGTAAGAAAGGGAAACAAATGGAAAAAGCATATATATATATATATGTATTTGAGTGACAGTTTCATTCTGAGCAGAGGCATACATTTGAGTGGCATTCTAAATCATGGTTAGACATGACAATGACTAGGATTAATTAAGCATCATCAGTCAAAAAAAAATAGGAACTCAAACAATGTTAAGGTTATGCATATCTTCCAGTTAATAAACTTAAGTGGAGTGTGTTAGCTAATTTAAAATGTACCCAAGTCTTTTCTTTGAATTCAAAAGAGTCAGAATTTAGAAATAATGATTCTACAATGCAGTGGCTCTTGAGTGCATGATATGTGATTGCTCCAAAGAACCCTTATACCAGGTGCAAATGACAGACACAACAGGCATGATAACAGAGTTTTTGTAAATAGCAACAGGAGGGTTAATTTATTAAGGGTTTCAGCATCCACAGCTGTTTCCCTTCAGCTGATGTGACTGAGCTGCTTTGTTAATAGACCTTACAATACTCTGTCTGATTATGTTTCTTTTCTCTGCTGCATTTTTAAGTATCAGGTTGATAACAGCACTGAAAAGGGACTTTAAAAGATTCTGTTGTAACCTAGGAAGATTGCAAATTTAACGGCATTTGCTAGGTGCTATACTTTTCACTGTTGGTTGCTGTAATTTAAATGACTCTGCCAGATGAACATGAAAATCCTTCAAGTGTTCTTTTTTTTTTTTTACTGTGGAGTAAATGAAATTTTATTTGAGACCTGCAAAGCATATGCTTCAACTGAACTTAATAGTGACACAGTCTTTGTTCAGAGATTTGAGTCAAATCATTTTCATCAGACCTATTGTGTTTATGGCCAACATTAGTTGAGTTTGTTCATGTTTCATTATTTGATACCACGCATGCTGATGTGTTCTTTAGGAGGGATACTGTATGGGGGCCATAGAAACCTGAGTTAACACTCTGACAGTAGCAGACTTCTCTGGGGGCACAGTTGGTTGTGCTGATTCACCATATGAGCTGGTGGAGGCTTTTCACATGCCAAGGACAGAGCACTCATGTATTCAAAATGGTACAAAGTGAAG